AATGAAGGGCAGAGTAAAATGATCCTTCCTTGTTGCTTGGCTGAGCCTCCGATAGTCAATACAGACCCTCCAACTATTTTGGACTCTGGTGGGTATGAGCTCATCCCTCTCATTCTTAACAACAGTGGGCCTTGTCTTCTTGGGGACAACCTGGACTTGGCTGACCCACTGACTATCTGAAATGGGATAGATGATCCCAGCCTGTAGAAGCTTGGTCACCTCTTTCTTCACAACTTCCAAAATCACCGGGTTAAGTCTCTTCTGAGGCTGTCTCACTGGTTTGGCTCCATCCTCCAATAATATCCTGTGCATGCATGTGAATGGGCTAATGCCAAGAATGTCTGCCAGGGTCCCAACCAATTGCCTTCTTGTGCTTCTGAAGCACAAGCAACAACCTCTCTTCTTGATCAGCATCAAGGGAGGTGGATATGATCACAGGGAATCTCTCATCGTCCTCCAAGTAAGCATACTTGAGGTTTTCTGGAAGAGGCTTCAACTCTGGTGTGGGTGCTGGTTGAACATTAGAAGGAACCAAAGAAGGGAGAAGGGGTTCCGCAGCCTGTACCTCAACCTGCAAGTCAGATTCTTTTGTACTTCCTGCAACATGGTTAGTGCATTCTGACTGTATAAAATCAAGACCAAGAGGTACAACACCCAAAGTGTCAAATTCAGATGCCTCACAATCAATTTCACATTCAGACTCATATTCAGATTCAAGCTCGGACTCAATGCATGAAAGACAACTATACAAAGCAAATGAAAATGAATGCTTCTTAGCGTGAGAAGAATCAAAATCATGAATGTGCTCATCAACTAGATCATCAATCAATTCAGCATGAAAAATAGAATGAGCTTCAGAAGGAAAGGTGATGGATTTTGCTGAGGAGGTCTTTGTTTAGGAGGCTGGTATGTAGAACTTGAGGGATTGTTCTGGAAAGGTGATGGATTTTGCTGCTGCTACTGAGAGTTTCCCCACCTCAAGTTGGGATGATTCCTCCAACCAGGATTGTATTTATTGGAAGACAGATCATAATTCTGTTGTTGCTGGTGTGGAGGTCTGTTGTTGTAAATGTTGGCAGCATATGCTTGTGGGGCATCAGGACCTGTAGAAGAGTCTTGCAAGGAGGGACAAGCATCTGTTGGATGATTAATTGAAGTGCAGATGCCACATACTTTTGCTGGTGGTGGAGCTGATTTTTTATTTGCAACCAGTTGTGAAACCAAGGTGGTGAGAGCATCAATCTTACTCTCCAGCTTTTTTTGTTCTGTGGAATCTGAGGCTACCACATCATGCACACCCCTCACAACTATGGCATCACTCCTCATATTGAATTGTTGTGAGTTGGACGCCATTTTTTCAATCAGTCTTCTAGCAGAAGCAGGTGTCATATCTCCTAAAGCTCCTCCACTAGCTGCATCAATCATGCTTCTATCCATTATGTTCAACCCCTCATAGAAGTATTGTAATAATAGCTGCTCAGAAATATGATGGTGACGACAACTAGCACACAACCTCTTGTTATCTCTCCCAGTACTCATACAAGTTCTCCCCCATGAGTTGCCTAATTCCAGATATTTCCTTCCGAATTGTAGTGGTCCTGGATGCAGGGAAGAATTTTTCGAGGAACACTCTCTTCAAGTCATCCCAGCATGTTATTGAACCAGGAGCCAGATAGTACAACCAGTCCTTGGCAAGATCCTCCAACGAAAAAGGGAATGCCTTCAAGTAGATGTGATCTTCAGGGACATTATGTGGTCTCATGGTGGAACAAACTATGTGGAACTTCTTGAGATGCTTGTGTAGATCCTCACTTGCACGACCATAAAACTTAGGCAACAAATGGATTAGTCCAGTTTTAAGCACAAAAGGAACATCTTCCTCGGGGTATTGAATGCATAAACTCTCATATGTGAAATCAGGTGCAGCCATCTCCCTAAGTGTTCTCTCTCGAGGTGCAGGTTGGTCACCCATATTTTCAGTTGAGTCAACTTCAGATGCTACACTCACACTATGGGTCACACTATGGGTATCACTCTCAGTTGGGACTATATGCTCTCTAACTAATCTAAGGTATGTTCTATCTATTTCAGTATCAAATGGATGCAAAGTGTCTGGATTATTCCTAGTCATGCACTACATGCAATCACATGCAACTACTACGTGAACAGTAGGGGTAAAAAGGGAATTTTCATCAAAACTTGGAAACTATCAAAAACAATGCACCAATATCATCCTAAAATCATTAGAAACTACCACAAAAAATTTGAGAGCAAAATTCAAAGTCTAACTATATGAACTACCCATGAAAAGCTTTGAAAAATAGGGAAATAAAACTTCAAAAATAGAAAGAAAAAAAATAGTAAACGACCTTTTTTTTAAAATCTAGCTGGATGCAGACGACATAGCATCTGGGTTTGATAGATCTTTTTTTTCTGCACAGAATGAAAAAAAAGTTTGTCTAATTCTGATAACCAGAGGCAAAGTTATGGCCGTTTGAAGTTTTCTGAAAACTATTTTCAAAAATTTTGGTATCTCCAAATCTTGACCAAACTGGGTGCCCTAGCTATTTTTTACACAAAATATAGGTTGAAAGAAGTTACCACACAAAATTTGAGACAAAAATAACAAGTCTAGCTATCAACACCAAAAATCACAATTAATTGGCAAAATCATGTATTATTCATCACTATTCACCGCCACATGAAATGCAACATTTTTAACAACTTGGACCCGATTTTCACACCCCAAACAGAGGAGTAGTAGACAGCCAAAACAGAGTATGCCTACACACACTAAAACGAAAACAGAGTACACACTAAAACCAAAATAGGGCAAAACCCGCACCAAAATAGAGCAAAAACCACACCAAATATGCACTAAATATGCACCACAAAACACACTAGAATGCACCAGAACGCACCCAAAAAAACAGATTACCCTACTAACCCACCACACTTCACAATGAACAAACAGACAGAGACACACTAAAATACACAAACACAAATACGAAAATAACACAACAAACACTATATTATGAACCTTTGGCTGGAGCGTTGCTCCCCGGCAACGGCGCCAAATTTGATCGGTGTCGTACCCGATCAAATAAAATACGAAATTTGTAATACTAGGAAGTGACTCCTAGGTCGTCACTCAAGGAGCAAAAATACCAATCCGAGGTTCATGAAATGCAAACAAACACACAGTATAGGGGGGTTTCAGATTCAAATGAACAATACGTCAACAGTAATCAATAAAACAGTACACTTTCCAACTCAGTTATCACACACACATCATTGGTTCAAAATATTATCTTCAGTCGTTTTAAACATTGGTTCAGTTTCTAGTAATCACTAAACGTCATTACTCTTGTTTTAAACGCATACAAATGAAGCATTAGCATCCATTCATTTCTCTGTTTCACAAGATTAAGCAAACCACGAACAGAATATTCAACCCAGATGAACAATACCATTAAGCATGGAAAATAAAAAGGTTAGAACACGAAGCTGTAGTGAAATAAACAGACCTCAATGAGCACTAAATTGAGTTAGAAAGTGTTACAAGTTTAGCCTTCCATGGAGGAAGACAGAAGAAAACGAAAAACTCAAAGGAAGAAAATGGAAGGGTTCAGTTTCTTAATACAACCAGAGAAGGAAAAATGGAAGAAATACGTGATGAATAGCTCCAGAACAAGGAAAACGTCCAGGAGAAAGAAGAGAACATGGTCACATCAAGTCTGCCCCCAAAAGTGGTGGCTGCATAGTCAACCCTAAGACCTAAAAGACACATGGTCAAAACCCTAAAACGAAGTGGGCCTCCTTCCCATCTGTCTGGCCCAAAAAATACTAAAACAAGGTAAACAAAAATGTAAATATGTGGCTGATGTGGCGCTGATGTGGCAAGTTGGTGCTGACATGGCGCTTACGTGGCACTTTATCTCTTGAAGTCCAGAAATAATATCGAAGCCCGAGAATGCTCCATAATTAACCTGAAAATAATTGATAAGCAAAAATTAGACCAAGTGAATCAGAATTAATTAAAATTCGAATTACTGGCCCAATGAAGCCCAAACAGTGAAACTGTACAATTAACAAGCAATTAAGCCTAAATCAACAATTAAAATAAATACAGAAAGATAAATAAATAGGGGGAAATAATGACTCATCAAAGAACTAGAAGTTCGTTCAAAACACAAGCACAAATTGCACTGTTATCCCAAGCTAAGTCAAGAACCATGGACGAAGCCCTGTTAGATGAAAGTTGGGTTCAGGCCATGCAAGAAGAGTTAAGTCAATTCCATAAGAATGACGTCTAGAAACTTTTTCCAATGCCTGAGGACAGGACGATCATAGGAACAAAATGGGTGTACAAAAATAAATTGGACGAATCAGGGAACGTGGTAAGGAACAAAGCAAGGTTAGTTGCAAAAGGGTACTCTTAGCAGGAAGGTATAGATTTTACTGAAACTTTTGCACCTGTTGCAAGAATAGAAGCCATTAGAATTTTACTTTCTTTTGCTGCATGTACTGGCATGAAATTATATCAGATGGATGTTAAAAGTGCAATTTTAAATGGAACAATCTCAGAAGAGGTTTACGTATGTCAACCTCCTGGATTTGAAAACAAACTATTATCGTCTCATGTTTTCAAACTAAACACAGCCCTGTATGGACTAAAACAGGCACCACGTGCATGGTATGAAAAATTAAGCTCTTTTCTAACAAGTAATAATTTTATAAGAGGTAAAATTGACAGCACCTTGTTTAGAAAAGAAATAAAGGATGATTTTATAATAGTTCAAATCTATGTAGACGACATAATATTTGGTGCTACTAATGAAAATCTTTGCCAAGAGTTTTCCAAGCTTATGCAGGATGAATTTGAAATGAGCATGATGGGAGAACTGAAGTTCTTTCTAGGACTTCAAATCGTCCAATCAGAAGAAGAAATCAAAATTCATCAGGCGAAATATACAAAAGAATTATTGCAAAATTTTAAGATGGAAGATGCGAAACCAATGAAAACACTAATGCATTCTTCAACTACTCTTGGTCTGGACGAAGAATCACCAGACGATGATAGCATGATGTACCAAGGAATGGTTGGTTCTCTCTTGTACCTAACAGCGTCAAGACCAGACATCATGTTCAACGTCTACGTCTGTGCCAGGTTTCAAGTAACACCTAAGGAGGTACACTTACAAGCTGTAAAAGGAATCTTAAGATACCTTAAAGGAACAGCTAACCTAGGCATCAACTTCTATAGAAGCCATAATTTTTCCCTTCTAGGATATTGTAAAGCAGATTATGCAGGAGACAAATGGGAGAGAAAAAGCACTAGCAAAGGATGTCATTTCCTTGGTCGCTGCTTGGTTTCATGGACTAGCAAGAGGCAAAGCACGATTGCCTTATCAACTTGTGAAGTTGAGTATGTTGCCACAAGGCAATGTCTTACGCAATTGCTTTGGATTAAACATCAGCTGGAAGACTACGACATTTATGAAAGTAGTATTCTTGTACTCTGCGATAACACTGCTGCAATTAACATTTCTAAAAAAACCTGTCTTGCACTCTAGGACTAAGCATATAGAAATTAAATATCATTTCATTAGAGATCATGTGCAAAAAGGAACATTTGAACTAATTTATGTTAAGACTGAAGAACAACAAGCTGATAACTTCACCAAACCCCTTCAAGAAGATAGATACGTCTGGCTGCGAGATAGGCTAGGAATGGAATTGATAGATGATCAATAGTATATTGCACTCGCCCTCTATTTCTTTTTAATGATAACAAAGGGAGAGAAAGATCACAAAAATCTATCAACTGAAAAGGCCACAACATAAGGGGGAGAGCATAGTCTAAGGGGGAGGATCCTTGGTACTTTAGAAAACGCATAGAAACCTCTTCATTACAATGTTCACATGATATTTGTTTGCTCTGTGTCTGATACAGGATGCTTGATATGTATAAACATGTATGAGAGATACATCTAAAAATGACTTGATAGATTATATTTGTCATCATCAAAAAGGGGGAGATTGTTAAGTCAGACGAAGCGCATTCGCAATTCCCACCAAGGTTTTGAATAAGACAAATATAATACATATTGTTATTACTAACATGTGTATTATTGTTTCATATGAATAACAATAAATTCAGGAAAAATAAAGGACAAATATGATCAAGCATAATCGAGTAGGACAAGACAACAGATGATGGAAAAAGCTAGTATCAAGTCTAAGGTTGATTCAGACAAAAATCAAATACAAGATAGGACGAATCTATCAGCCGAAGCCTGAGGAATCAAATGCAAGACCAAAACAGGCATTATATGAGACTAAGCCAAGAACGGGACAAAAAGATGGATAAACATATCAGATAGAGCCTAACAAACAAGCAGACAAAGTCATCACTCTCATGACCAGATGTAAAAATAGCCAATACCAGACGAAGAATCAAAGTCAGAATGGGTATCCAAGCACAGTAAAAAAATGAAGCGCGTCTGAAGTCCACTAATCACAATTGAGTGAAGTCATACAAGAAACACCAAAGTACATCAAACCGGAATACAAAAAAGTAGAAAAATAGGCAAGCATGGAGTCACAAGTCAAAGCTTCGTATGTTAGAAAAAGGATACCTACTATTTAGAGAAAGACAGCACCATAACAGCTAAATTGATGAGACAAGTACAAATATGCCTTGATTATGATTGAGTAATCAACTACACAAAAGGCCTTCACGTATACCAGCAAACATTTAATGCAAGATCAAATGTATTAAATGAGAAGATTTACATAGCCATGAACAAGCCTCCATCTACAACGACATGAAACTACGCTCCAAGTGGAAAATTTGAATTCAAACAACGTGCAAATTTACCAAATGGCTATAAGTATCAAGGCAAAGAAGAAGAAGAAGAAGAAGAAGAAGAACTGAGAAGTGGAGAAAGCATGCAATAAGAAAAAGAAAGTAAAAGAGTATAAGCTACATTTCTTCTCAAAGCATTTCCTGTATATCTGTGTAAAAACTAAGATAGCTTATCTTAGTGAGTGTTTTTGATAGTCTATCCTCTTTACAAGAGTAAACAAACACTTAGACACTTATTCTTGTAAAACTAAGGTTACGCACCTTAGTGAGTGTAGAAACTATCCTATTATCTCTGTGAGAGTTGCAAACACACTCAACACCTTCATTTGTTGTAAAGCCTGAAGAGGCTAGTAGAAAGAATACTTGTGAACCAGAAGTGGTTTAAGAATACTAGCGCTAGTGAGTGAAGCTAGCAGGCTAGAAGTGGTCAAGAATACTTGGAGATCCAGAAGTGGTTAAAGAATACTAGCATCGACAAGTGAGGTTGACGAGCTATAAGTGGTTGAGAATACTTGTAATCCTTTGTGATTAGTGGAAACCTTCAATTGAAGGAGACTGGACGTAGCTCAGATTGAGTGAACTAGTATAAAAATCCATGCATATCTATTTCTATTTTTCAAATACTACTTGTCTAAAAAATTTGTCTTTCATCTACCTTCATTTCAACAAACTGTTAGACGAAAACACACTTGTCTACCATTTTCGGAGAAACATTTTTTTTGGACGATAAAACCTTTTCAGGCAGAAAACTAATTTACTCAACTTGTTTCTTGAAGTAGACGATCAGTTCTATCAGACGTAAAAATCTTTTTAGTCAGACTAGCCTGCACAAGTCTTCAACAGAGCTTGAATATTCCTTTTATTAAAAGTAAAAGGAGCATCTTTACAAAACGATTTAAAAAAATCTTCCTTCGAGCAAACACACACATTCAACCCCCCTTCTGTGTGTTTTTCCGCTAACTTCAAACCAAATACAATCAATAGAAAAAATTACAAGAATTAAAATGAGCCCAATATTGGGTACTAAAAGCCCAAAGGCCCATGAAGCTCAAAACTAGGCCCAATAAGCCTAAAGCCCAAAATTCCTATACTAAAGGTCCATAATACAATACCAATCAATATGAAATCCTATACTACTCAAGGTGCAATAACTGGTGGTCAATCATGCAAAGCCCAAGTGAAGAGTACCCTAGGCTTTAGGCCTTCTTAACATTCCCTCAGGCCGAGTCAACCCAAATCATTTCACTTCCCGACCAGCTTCCCTTTTTTCCCCCAAATAATCAAATAAATAAATATAATACAAAATATTTTTTCCTCAATAATAATAAAATATTTCAGACCCAAAGTATAATAATATAATTTTGATATCAAAATATCCTAAAAAATCAACCTTTTAAAATTTATAATAAAATATATAATTAATTTAATTATAAAAAATATTGGGGGTTGTATCTCATATGGGCTCCTAAATTATCCTTTAAAACATACAAATAATTATTTAAAAGTCCAATAAAAATACTTATTTAATACATACAAAATAATTATTTAAAACATACAAAATAATATTCCCCTATGTTAATAAAAATAATTCTAACCAAATATCACATTGTCAGAACCCCAAAAATTTCAATCTTGCCCACAGATGGTTTAGACTTCCATTTTAAAATTTTCATTAATTAAGAAATGTCTGGACACCAAACTGATCCTTAACTAATGGTTTTGAAAATAGTTCATGGAGTCATCACTGATGTTTTGCTCAAAACATCGGAAAAAGAATAAAAGAGTTTTAAAATACCAAAACGGCCTTTATAACTAGAATTTGGTTCAGAGGTCGATTACGTGTAGGAAATATGTTAGGCATCCTACGATGCCCTGAATCAATACCCTATAATGAAACTAGCACGATTTCAAATAATAATTTAAATATTAGGTTCCCTTTTTATTAATAATTATTTGTATATTTACACGATTTGTCCTAAAATGCCTACATGATTACCTTCGTTTATAACAGAAAGGATAAAGGTACCTCTTAAATCGTGCTTTTACAGATACTTCCAATGTAGTAATTTGAGGTTCTTTTTTACTACCTTTCACACTTCAAAATGTCTCTCAAATCTCAAGAAATACAAAAAGAAAAAAGAGAAGCGTTATAGATTTTAGAAGGACTATTCAGAGACTAAAATTTTCAATCCTTAGCACTATGCACGAGCCTACTATTTATAGGCACAGAAATCCACCAGAATGGGCTATTCCGAATTTGGAATAGGCCATTCTGGACTTTTCTATTATGTGTAAAATTTGAACCTGAAATGGCCCGTTCCTAGAGCAAAATGGCCTGTTCTATATTTGAATTTTCCATGTAAAAGACTAGGTTAGAACGGGGCGTTCTAACCTAGGATTACATGCCTTTTTATAAGCTTGGGATAGCCCGTTCCAGTTTGGGAACGGCCCATTCCGAGCTACTAATTCTGGCACTTCGTGTTTTGGATCACTAGATGTCATGTTAGCCTGCTTTAGTGTTGTTTTCGAGCCTTGGGGAACTTCTTCATGCTGAAAGTCCATTTCTTTATTTTTGTGCACCCGAACGAAATTAGGTGTCTACACATATAATAATAATAATAATAATACTTTTAAAAAAAAATAGGGTGTTACACAAAGTTTGACCTAATCTGATCTATTTTCGTTCCTATTTAAGATCAACTATATTTAAATAAATTTCACAATTATATAAATAATACAAATATTATATCAAATACATAATATAAAAAATATGATTATAAATAAAATAATAAATCTAAAATAAAAATAAATAAATAAATATTACTATGTAAAAAAAATTATGTAATACTTTCATTTAATATGTAAAAAAAATACATACTTCATTTGATTTTATATTTTAATTTTATTATACTAATTCTTTTAATTATTTTTGTAATTGTTCTAGTCACAAATTGGTGGTCTCCTCACCGGAGCGTCAATATACAAATTACTCTCTTCTATTACGTACTATTGGTTCGAATGAATAGTCGCTTTGGGTTTTCACCTGCCTATTTAACCTAATTTCTCATTGTTATCTTCGATATCTTTTTTTTTCTAAAATTTGTGGTATATCTTTTAGAATCTTATCAATGTGCACCTTGTATGCCTGATATCTCTCATTTTAATTTTAACCCTTTATCCAAGATAATCATCTCACTCGTAACCTAAGTAGATTGCGTATCTATGTAAATCTCAGTCTTAAGCTAAGCTTCTAAGGTGAATGGGCTAAAAAGGGAGCTCAGTTCTAAATCATTACAAGCTTGGCTAAGGACTTCTTAACACCCCTCGAAGGTAAAAAAGCTCATCCCAGAATCCAGATCTTTTTCAAAAGAGATGTTCAGAATTCTTGTAGTTTATTAAGTCGATATGAAACCCAAGAGGGTACACAGCTCCCTAGTCTTGAGTTGGTGAAGTGAGAAGACTATAAAATAGGAAACAACATTATAACACTATTAAGTTGGTATAAGACCTAAGAGAGTACACAACCCCCCTAGTCTTTAGTTGGTGAAGGGACAAGACTATAAAGTAGGAAACAACATTGTAACACTATTAAGTCGATATAAGACCCAAGAGGGTACATAGCCCCCTAGTCTTGAGCTGGTGAAGCGAGAAGACAAAGAAATAGGAAAAATCGTAACACTATTAGTCAAGACAAATCTAGCTATGAAGCAATTAAAATAGCTAAGTTAATAAAGTCAATATAAATCCAAGCTTAAAGAATCAAATCAAGACAAATCCAAAAATTTGAGTTTAAAATAATCATATCAAGAAAAAATCGAGCTTAACTAATCAAGTCAAGAAAAATCTGAGCTCAAACTAATCAAGTCAAGAAAAATCTGAGCTCAAACTAACCAAGTCAAGAAAAATTCGAGCTTAACTATGATGTTTTTAAGAAATGAACTATTATAAATAAATTCACGAGAAATCCGAGCTCAAGATAATTATGTCAACTGAAATCTGAGCTTAACTAATCAAGTCAATAAAAATCCAAGCTCAAACTAATCAAGTCACAAAAAATTTGAGCTCAAACTATGATGTGTTTTTTTTTTTAAATGCATTATTATAAACGAAGTCATGAGAAATCCAAGCTCAAGATAAGCAAGTCAACTGAAATCTGAGCTTAACTAATAAAGTCAATAAAAATCTAAGCTCAAACTAATCAACTATATGTAAGCTACATTTAATCACGTCACAAGAAATTCAATTTCAAATAAATTACAAGTAATTAATTACCTTAGGCCAATCAACTCATGTCATTCTCAAACTTAGCATGACTCACTAATCATACTAAGGTCAGCTCATGTCGTTCATAACCTTAGCATGACTCATTGTTCGCAACCTTAGCATGACTCATAGATCATATTAAGGTCGGTTCATGTCATTCGCAACCTTAGCATAACTCATTGATCATACTAAGGTGGATTCATGTTATTCGCAACCTTAGCATGACTCGTTGATCATACTAAGGTCGGTTTGTGTCGTTCGCAACCTTAGCATGACTCATTGATGATACTAAGGTCAGTTCGTGTCATTCGCAACCTTAGCATGACTCAATGATTATACTAAGGTTAGTTTGTGTCGTTCACAACCTTAGCACGACTCATTGATCATACTAAGGTTGGTTCATGTCATTCGCAACCTTAGAGCATCTCCAATGGGGGTTGCTTATAAGCAACCCCCATTGCAGATACTCTTAGCATGACTCATTGATCATACTAAGGTTGGTTCGTGTCGTTCGCAACCTTAGCAAACTAATCAACTATATGTAAGCTACATTTAATCACGTCACAAGAAATTCAATTTCAAATAAATTACAAGTAATTAATTACCTTAGGCCAATCAACTCATGTCATTCTCAAACTTAGCATGACTCACTAATCATACTAAGGTCAGCTCATGTCGTTCATAACCTTAGCATGACTCATTGTTCGCAACCTTAGCATGACTCATAGATCATATTAAGGTCGGTTCATGTCATTCGCAACCTTAGCATAACTCATTGATCATACTAAGGTGGATTCATGTTATTCGCAACCTTAGCATGACTCGTTGATCATACTAAGGTCGGTTTGTGTCGTTCGCAACCTTAGCATGACTCATTGATGATACTAAGGTCAGTTCGTGTCATTCGCAACCTTAGCATGACTCAATGATCATACTAAGGTCGAGTCGTGTCATTCGCAACCTTAGCATGACTCAATGATTATACTAAGGTTAGTTTGTGTCGTTCACAACCTTAGCACGACTCATTGATCATACTAAGGTTGGTTCATGTCATTCGCAACCTTAGAGCATCTCCAATGGGGGTTGCTTATAAGCAACCCCCATTGCAGATACTCTTAGCATGACTCATTGATCATACTAAGGTTGGTTCGTGTCGTTCGCAACCTTAGCAAACTAATCAACTATATGTAAGCTACATTTAATCACGTCACAAGAAATTCAATTTCAAATAAATTACAAGTAATTAATTACCTTAGGCCAATCAACTCATGTCATTCTCAAACTTAGCATGACTCACTAATCATACTAAGGTCAGCTCATGTCGTTCATAACCTTAGCATGACTCATTGTTCGCAACCTTAGCATGACTCATAGATCATATTAAGGTCGGTTCATGTCATTCGCAACCTTAGCATAACTCATTGATCATACTAAGGTGGATTCATGTTATTCGCAACCTTAGCATGACTCGTTGATCATACTAAGGTCGGTTTGTGTCGTTCGCAACCTTAGCATGACTCATTGATGATACTAAGGTCAGTTCGTGTCATTCGCAACCTTAGCATGACTCAATGATCATACTAAGGTCGAGTCGTGTCATTCGCAACCTTAGCATGACTCAATGATTATACTAAGGTTAGTTTGTGTCGTTCGCAATCTTAGCATGACTCATTAATCATATTAAGGTCGGTTCATGTCATTCTCAACCTTAGCATGACTCATTGATCATACTAAGGCGATTCGTATAGGCTAGGTCATGCTTGCTAAACCTCGATACTCCTTTATTAAAAAAATCATTAAGAATGTAATACAAAACTGAAATATTAGTCAACAATAGGAGTTAAGGACATGTGGTGCCTCGTTAAAAACCTTTTGTGCTGTAGAGTTCTTCTTCTCCTCAACCTTCTTCCTCGTCTGATTTGCATCTTCCTCTACATAACTCAAAGCGAAAGACCTTACTTCTATCATTGATTGGGGCTTTCCCTTTCCCAACTCTAGCTAAATATGCCTGACCCGAACCCTTGAAAAGCTACAACAACCATCTTGTCATTGATCACAGCTATCCTCACGGCGACCTCATTAAATTTCATGAAAAGTCCTTTAGGCTTTCTCATTGATTTTGCTTTATGTCGAATAAATCTTTGATAAGAGCGAGCTTGCACTTATTGGTTGGGAATTGGGCCATAAACAATCGGCTAAATGTCTCAAAGTTGGTTATGAATCGATCTGGGAGACTAGTGAACCAGTTCATAGCAACTTTCTTCAACATTCTCATGAACATTTTGCACCTGACACCCTAAGATCCCCCATTGATCATCATTCGGGCCCAAAAGTCCATGAGATGAGCATTAAGGTCTTACGTCCCATCGAACGAGTTTACCTTCAAGATTTTGTAATCTCGTGGGACTTCCTTTTCCTTAATTTCAATGAAGAACGAGTAAAAGTCCCTCGAAACTTCCACCACCAAATCTCCTTCTTTCACGCATAGGTTCGTTTGAATGGTTCTCTACAACTCCTTAGCCCTTAGTCGTAATTCATCCTCTCTCCTTCGTGCTGCTACATTCTCTTCCTTGAGATTGTTGATCATTGCCAACAACTCTTCCACTATCAGTTGGGCTCCGACGTTTTTCGTTGTTGGCGCTACACCTCTCACCATTTTCCCTCTTTGGTCACATCTTCCCCTTCGTTTACATTATAACTTGGGTGTAGGATAATATTCTACCTGTCCCACGATGGGTGTCAAAATGTTCTGATCACAAATTGGTGGTCTTGTCACCATAGCATCAATATACAAATTAATGTCATTTATTGCATACTGTTCTTTTGAATGAATTGTCACTTAGAATTTTCACCTGCCTATTTAACGTAATTTCTCATTGTTATATTTGATATCCAATTACTAGTAATTGTCATATATCTTTTAGAATCTTATCAATATGTGCCTTGTATGCTTGATATTTTGCATTTTAATTTTATCCTTTTATCCAAGATAATCCTTTAACTCGTGACCCAAGTAGATTGTATATTTGTGTAAATCTCAATCTTGGATTGAGCTTTTAAGGCGAATAAGCTAAAAGGTAAACTCAATTCCGAACCATTACAAGCTCGGATGGAGACTTCTTAACACCCTTCAAAGAAGGTGAAAAAGCTCATCCCAAAACTTAGATCTTATTTAGAAGAGATGTTCATAAGGGTACAATAATATTTTTCACTTCCATTGAGAAGAAAACCAATAAGTAAAAGAGATAAAATTATCTTCTTTGATAATATTTTCTATACATTGAAAAACTTGTTTATTTAATAGTGCCTTTTAGATTACTGTAATGTAAGACTATTCTAATTCACAAGATGTAAACGTCGATAAAATATATATTATAAAGATAAATAATTACCCTTCAAAATATTTACCTTGTAAATTACAAGACCAATGAAAAGGAAGATTATATGCTCAAAATCAACATAAAATCAACATAAAATTATAAACTATAATATAGAAATAATAGATAGAAAGAAGAGAAGTTGCAAAATGAACATAAAAGAGAAAATAAAAGATTTCTTATATTATTTTCAACAATAATATAACCTATCTATCTATAAATATAAATGGTTAAAAAAAATAATATTAAAGTTAAATATAAATGAAAACAATAAACAATTACCATTAAATATTAATAAACAAATCACTCAAATTCGACGCGCCTTGTTGGTCAAAGGAAGAATTGTTAGGAAATATGAAACATGGCCAGAAATTTACCAGACGATAGTTAAAATTTATGACACAATTTTAACACAAAATTGATATTTAAAAGCAAGCCAACAGCACAAAAATGTATTCAGGGGTTCTCACAACACATTAAAACACATTATAATAGAAGAAACTTTGCCACCGTCGATCAAGAACCCAGTTCTGGGAACAAAAGTTGCGAGATGATGGTGGAGACTTCAAACAACGTCCGAAAAACAAGTTAACTGGAGAAGAAGACACAGAAGTACAAGAAGAAAGAAACCAGCATATATTGTAACCATAAAAAAGGACATCCCGCACGATTCACTTTCCACCCTTCTTCTGTGCAGCCTTGGTAACCTTGGCTCCACTAGGTTCTTTCTTCTCCACACTCTTGATCACTCCAACAGCAACAGTTTGACGCATGTCCCTAACAGCAAACCTACCAAGTGGGGGATACTCAGAGAAAGTTTCAACCACCATAGGCTTTGTTGGAATCATCTTCACAAAACCAGCATCACCATTCTTCAAAAATTTAGGCTCCTTCTCAAGCTCTTTGCCAGATCGCCTGTCAATCTTGGTCACAAGTTCAGCAAACTTGACAGCGATGTGGGAGGTGTGACAGTCCAGAACAGGGGCATATCCGTTTCCAATCTGACCTGGGTGATTCATGATGATAACCTGGGAGGTGAAGTTAGCAGCCTCCTTAGCAGGATCATCCTTTGAGTTTGAGGCAACAAAACCACGCTTGAGATCCTTAACAGCAACATTCTTAACATTGAATCCCACATTGTCACCAGGAAGGGCCTCTGTGAGAGCTTCATGGTGCATCTCCACAGACTTAACTTCAGTTGTCAAACCAGTTGGTCCAAAAGTGACCACCATTCCAGGCTTCAAGGTACCAGTCTCAACACGTCCCACTGGCACAGTTCCGATTCCTCCAATCTTGTAGACATCCTGAAGGGGCAGCCTGAGGGGCTTGTCAGATGGTCTCTTGGGCTCGTTGATCTGGTCAAGTGCCTCAAGAAGGGTAGGACCCTTGTACCAGTCAAGGTTTGTGGACCTCTCAATCATGTTGTCTCCCTCAAAACCCGAAATAGGAACAAAAGGAATCTTATCAGGGTTGTATCCAACTTTCTTTAGGTAGGAAGAGACTTCCTTCACGATTTCATCATATCTGGCCTTCGAGTACTTGGGTGTGGTGGCATCCATCTGTTTCAAAGAGAATCAAGAACATTGATTGAAATAAATTAATCTTTTAAAGTTATCTGTATGTAAAGGGATGTATATAAGCTTAAAAATCCAAAACGCGAATTACCTTGTTACAGCAACAAATCATCTGCTTCACACCAAGAGTGAATGCAAGAAGAGCATGCTCACGAGTCTGTCCATCCTTGGAAATTCCAGCTTCAAAACCACCAGTAGTGGAATCGATGATAAGAACAGCACAGTCAGCTTGGGATGTCCCAGTAATCATATTCTTAATGAAATCCCTGTGTCCAGGAGCATCAATGACTGTGCAGTAGTACTTGGTGGTCTCAAACTTCCACAAGGCAATATCAATTGTGATTCCTCTTTCACGCTCAGCCTTAAGCTTGTCAAGCACCCATGCATACTTGAAAGACCTCTTGTTCATCTCAGCAGCTTCCTTCTCAAATCTCTCAATAACACGCTTGTCAATACCTCCAAGCTTGTAGATCAGGTGGCCAGTGGTAGTGGACTTCCCAGAGTCGACGTGGCCAATGACCACAATGTTGATGTGAACCTTTTCCTTACCCATATCTGCCTTATGTTAAGTATCTGCAAAAGGATGAACCATGAAAAAGTTAAGAATGCCATCATGCCTCAACAAACCATATAAATGAAAAATTCAACAAAAGTCACGGCCTTTCCCATTTACATAAAACTTTCAAAATATATAACATGGCGATCTTAATACCCATCACATAACAAAGCTGACTATGTATACTCAATCAAACGACATAAAACACATGATTTTAATATTTTAGCAGATCAAAACCATCAAAAATGCACAAATTATAATACACCCACACGTACAAGTACATCTTTAGCATACTTTCACATAAATATTCACCCAGGCCTAGTATAATTCTTAGCTTGAGTCGACTAATGTGAACAGTTCATAGACCTATTCGTATCAGTAATTAACATCATTCTTAAAACAAAAAACACAACTTTAACATGATCTGGATACAAGAATTTGAATGTAACAAAAACATAAAACCTCAAAACCAAAATTATGCCAGATCAACTAATAAGAAACATGCAACTAAAATAAAATACATCGTATCAATTATTACCAACAACTTGAACGAAAAACGGAAGGAACAAACTAAATGATAAATTAATCGGTAAAACATGAATAAAGTGAAAACAATAAGCGATAAATGCAAAATACTTCAAACTGCTTGCCAAATAATTCATAATTCAATAGAATATAATACACATGATTCCAAGGGTTAAAATTCAAAGCATGGTAAAATAAACCGAACCTAGAAGAAGAAGCTGGGCAAAACCCTAGCCGCAAGAAAAGAGTGTGAGCAGGAGAGTGAAGAGAACCTGAACAAAGAGGGTTACAGGGTTTATTCATAGTTACAACTTTTTTTTTCTTCTGTTCACGTAAATACCCTTACTATTTTATTGTGGTTCCATTTGTGTCCTTCTCTGCTTTCGTGGCGACAATTGAAACGCTCGCTATCAGCGCGTGCTTTCAACGTCCCGTTGGTTTCGAACTAGAGTGTCATCCACGCGCCTACTAGACCATATTGTCTTGAACTTTAGATGACAGTGCGGGAGGGTACGATGCCGTGACGTTGGGGAACTTCAATTGTGAGACTACGAAAACGACACCGTACTTTTGAGTGTATCGGAAGATATTCTAACTAAAAATGACAAAATGGATTTGAATCTTATAAATACTAGTAAAAATATTCGCATGTGGAGCCGGTAAATATTTATTTATACGGAGATAGATATGAGATGAAGGTAGATTCAAAAAATTTTAATACATACGGGTGTAGATAGAGGCATGGTTTTAAACATCAGTTCGTTCATCAAATTAGTTAGGATATTGGGTTAGTAGATCAAAGATTAAATTGGTGGATCACTAATTGAACTGCATGACTTAATTTTTATTAATTTTAAAAAAATATTTATATTAAATATATTTTATACTTATAAATTTTAATAAATTCATATCTTATTTTAAATTTTAATTTCATCTTATTTAAAATTATCTTTGTTTTTATTTTTTATAAAGAAATACATAAAAAAATTACATGTTAAGTTGTATATTAATACAAATTAGAAATATAAATAATATGTACATATATAATATATTTACAATTGATATCACAAAATAATATATGTAATATTTACATAGATATTATATTATTAAATATATAATTTAAAATTAATAATATACTATAAAAGTTATTTAAGTTGCATATATTACAAACAAAACATCAGAATAAGTAGTCATATTGTTATATTTAATAAGACTCTTTGTTCTTCCTTTAAAAAATTCAATTCTGGTTGTTATTTTTGTGGTTTGTGGTCCCTTAAAAAAAATTGTGGTTGAACGGGTTTGACCCACTAGTTCACTAGTCGAATCAAAAAATTAACCAGTTCAATCCAGTTTGAAACGAGTCAAATGCATAATCGATCTAACTTAAGATTTGGGTTGGCTGGACCACCGGTTCCCAGTTCAACCAGTCCGAACGACTGGTCTGATCCAATTTTTAATACACTGGATAGAGGTACTATGATACTTATCTTGTCCTGTGCCACAATTGTAACACCCTGTTTTCAAAAATAATAATATTATATATATTATTATATTTTTATATTTTAGTTAGAATTATTTTTATTTTTATACGTGGTAAGATATTTATATTATTTATTTATTTATTTTAATGGGAAGATGAAAATTGGATTCGATTGACCTGACCCAATGAAATTTTAAGAAAAGGGTCAAGCAAAGTTAATCCTATCTATCTTATTTTACATTCTGAAGGGTTAGAAGAGAAAGAGAAGAGGAGAAGGGAGCTCTAAAGGGAAGCATTCAGAACCATCTCAAACTGTGTCAGATTGTTCCTATTGACACATGTAGACACCAATTTTTGTCTAGGCCATCCCTAATAAGGTAAATAGACCTCTAGAAAAAGAAGAAAAGTCCTTGAGGGCCTAGTAAGGCATGGAAACAGATTAAGATAGAATCTGGGAAGCCCAAAAGACGCCACAACACACAAAACCCTAATTATGACACATTCCCAACCTTGGAACAGTCGTTCCCAACTATAAAAAAGAACTAAACCCTAGTTTTGGAACAGTCTAATGGAGGAGGCAAGTAAAGTGATGGATGATCTTCCCTTTCCTTCTCCAAAAACTCGGATCTTACCATGTGCTGGCCGTGAATCAAGAAGATCCATTGTATTTAGATTAGATTTATAGTGTGTTTAAATTGAATTTGGGCATATGCATGTTCAGCCACCCTTGGCTAAAAACATGTGACCTAAATTCAACTTAAATGTCTTTTAAATGACATCTAATTTAAGCTAACTTTGCCTTATTAAGTATTCCTTCTAATTTCCTACTCTAATGGCCTAAATACAATGGCCAACCAAATACAAAGAATAGGAAATAATAAAAGAAACAAAATGAGCCAAATATTAGGTACCAAAAGCCCAAAGGCCCATAAAGCCCAAAAATAGGCCCATGACGCCTATGGCCCAAATTCCTATGCTAAGTGGTCCAAAATACAAGACCAAAATATATGAAACCTATACTAATACAAAAAATGTAAATCAAAGAAGTGGCCCATGTGAAAACAACTTGGGCCCACCAAGCCCATTGGGCCCATTGGGCCCATTGGGCTTTCAACTAGCTCAAATCTTCTTGTCTAGCTCATTCCTCTTGGATTCTTCAATGTGTCACCTCTTGCCCTCCTAGGCATGATTCCATGACATTCATTCTAACTAGGTATTTTGTATGCTTTTCTAAGGCACGAAATGACCCTTTTGGTGTTAGGAACGGTAGTTCCCCTTCCCTAAGTGTCTATATAAGCATGTCTAGAGCTCATTCTTCCACACACCTATCAGATTTGACTTCCCCCTCTCTCTATGAATTTCTGAGTGATAGTGAGAATAGAGCTCATTCAAGAAGTATTTCAGTTAATCTCTTTCTCTCTTTTTTTATTTCTTATCTATAATAAATATTGTTATAATAAAAATAATCATATAGACATTTTAGGGTTAATTGTATAATTTAAATTTCAAGCATGTAAATAGTTATTAATAAAAGAGGATTTAATATTTCTATTATTATCATTTATAATGCTAACTTCATCATAGGGTACCGATTAAGGGCGTTGTAGGGGTGCTTAATACCTTCC